TAATTTGGTCGATAGGATTCAATCTACACTGAGAAGAACCTGACATCTATGACATTGATCACTACCTAGTAATTAATCATTTGTGAATACATCTCAGTCTTACAGAAGATCAGTCACAAACCAAATAGTAAAGTGATAACATCTCTGACTGTGAAACTGGTTGACATGGAATTTAATTCATCAAGAAGCATCAGTTCCTTCAAGATTACACGTACACATTGCAATATGATCGATAGCATTCGATCAGCACTAATAATAAGGACTAGACACGCATGACATTGGTCACCTAGTGATCAATCAATTGTGATTACATCTCAGTTCTACAGGAGGTCGGTCGCGGCCCGGATAGCTCAGTGGTAACGTCTCTGACTGTGAAGCTGGGTGACACGGGATCGAATCCGCCAGGGAGCACCAGTTCCCTCAAAGATTACAGGTACACCTTACTGACGAGTGCCAAATAGAACAAAACAATAATACCGGAATTTCATGTTACCTACCTTAAACTATCATCTTAAAATGAATGTGTTGTTTGTAGATTTCTGTTGAGTATTAGGTTGATTATGTTTTAATCCTTACATTAACATAAATATTCAACATATAAAAAAACAATTAAATCATGTTAAGTAAACATGTGTTTATTTTATATGTGATATGTGATTTGACGCTTATTAAAAACATTTCATAATTTATACTTTATGATTTGATCTGATCTCATCTAATCTGATCTGAGCTTGGGATATTGCTTATTTTAATATCTATTTATGAATAAGAGTTTCATCAACTAAATCTCCTTAAATTATACTAGTGTATGTATGTATGTATGTATGTATGTGCGTGTAAGAATGAGCTCCTTTCTGTGTGTTGATGTATGGTAATCACTCACTCTCTCTCTCTCTCTCTCTCTCTGCGTGTTCATGTTTCGGGTGATTATGATGACAGAGGTGGTGGTGGTGATGGTGGTGGAGGTGTTTGGTGGTGGTGAAGTGAGAAAAATATCAATCTATTCAAGTCATCAATTCATTTCTGTCACATCAAATTGTTTCTCTCAGCTATTAGTCGTTCTCAATATGAAATAGTGATTACGTAATCTTACTGAAAGTAATAAATAATTAATCATTTATATATTCATGATTACACTTACTCAAACACAATTAATCCATTGACAAATCAATCATCAGTTGAATCAGTTGAATTATGATGATCACGTACACCATTGAATATGATCGTGATGTGTTGTGTTGTGGTTTTGGTTGTTGGTGCTGTTGTTGTGGGTGATGGTGATGGTGATGATGATGATGATGATGACTAGTTGCAGTGAAACTGTTGAAATGAATAGACAATCATTTTGAAGCTTGGTGATGATGATAATAGTGGAATGAAGAAGAATCTGTTGATGGTCATAATCAACATGTCATAAATGATGATTGACAGTGATGAATTGATTAATTAAGTGGATAGTAATAGTGGGAGAATCTGTGTTGTGATTGTTGGTTAATTGGACACGTAATTGAATCTAGATGTTGGATAATTAATTGCAGAATGTGAATGGATAGAGTGGGAGTATGAGGAGAAGGAGGAGCTGGAGATTGTTGATGTGGTGACTATGAATGGAGTATTCATGTGTGCGTGTGCGTGTGTGTGTTTATATTGGTTGATTGGAATCAGATTATTAGGGGATGTTATGACTCATATCAATTTAGTGGTCATTCACTTGTTGGGTACGTAGTGTATAAAGGATTCATACGATTTCTTAAAGATTATCTTTTAAGAGATATATAATTGTTTGGTAATTTGATTCATCTACTATCGTGTAGTTTTAAACCTAAATGGGTTAGCCTAAGCCAGGATGATTTATGGATAATATATCTGATTGTAAAACAGGATGACATGGGATCTTATCCTTCAAGGAGCAACAGTTCTCTCAAATTTATCTATATTTTTTGTTCTTTATAGCGAGTTAGTTTTCTACGAGTTGGGATTGCTAACCTCATGCTCGACTCTCCTCATTTATTCGGGCTTGAAACCAACAGTAACCCAGATGGACTCCAAACGAAGTTCCAGGTATATTTTACTGAAGAAGGCTAAATAGTCCAAACACTTGTTCCAGAGTTTCTTGTTGACTGCTTTAAACCACTAACACAAATAATTCAAGTATGTCTAAATTGTATCTATTGTACTATCCATTATTCAAATACATCTCCTAATCATTCATATTTATATGAAATACATAAATTGAAATGAAGTATTTGAATTCACATGTATTGAGAGAATGGTGCTTGGCTATAATGTGATTTGTATTATTAACATGTTAAAAAATTTAACAATGAAAATTATTTGACTAGATAAGGTTATATTACTCTCTTCTGGAGGTTGGTTGGATTATGAAGAATATCTCAGAGGAATCACAGAAGATAATGAACAGCTGGTATACAATTAGAAGTGGTGAAAACTTTCACTTACCTACGTGGACAGTATCATCGATGAACAAGGAGTATCTGCTGTAAATGTAAATGCAAACACTGACAAAACAAGAATAGCATCCCTAAAATCGAAGAACATATGGAACTCAAAAAAAAAAAAAAAACAACAGTCAAACAACATCAAAGTCAGGATCTTCAATACTAACATCAAGACAGTTCTACTACTACACGGAGCTGATACTTACAGAACCACCACAACCATCATTAAAATATACGAGTATTTATGAATCATTGTCTATACAAAATACTCAATGTCCATTGACCGGATACCATCAATAATAACCTACTATGAGGGAGAACAAACAAGATTCTACTTGTAGAGGTAATTAGGAAAAGAAGTTGAAAGTGGATAGAACATACATTATGCAAATCATCAGATTGAATGACGAGGCAATGCTTAACAGGTAATCATGATATGACACAGAACAGTGTAGACAAATAGACGACTTTTTTTCGAGAATTGGTATGAGACATCAGAAGGATGAATAGCAAGTGGAAACATGTGGAATGGATTGTTCAGGACATTGTTCAATGGAGAATGCTAGTGGTCGACTTATGCTCTTCCACGAGGGGTAACAGGTGTAAGTAGTAAATAATGTTTTATATAATATGTCAATACCCGTTTAACTCCATCAGACACTTAAGTTAGGCCTCAGCTAATCGGTGGATTATCGGTGTTGCATAACTATTGACAATCATTTACATACATTTATTCAACGTAACGTTCCAATGCAGCTTAGTTAAATTATTTCAATAACTCATCAATATCTGGTACCATAGTATTCAATGGAATATTTTGGAAATCACTGCACATTCAGAAATCTCCACTTGTCTAAGAAAAATATCTCCATTTGACTGTTTAACTAAAGATGTCCAACATTTTGATTCATAATTCCATAATCATCGTATTTAGGGACTGGTGACTAAGTGTTATCTAACATAATGAACGATTGGATGATGTAGCTGTTCTTTGAATTGATGACAGGTTTCCATAATTGACATCTGCTACAGCAGTATTTTCCAAAGATCATAACATTTCTCTATGATTCATGCTATTCTTTCTTATATAGAAAAAAATTTCACTTGTCGTTTTACCTATATTGAGGATAACGATCATCTCAGAGTAGGACACTATGAATGCTCTAATGATTATAGTTGCAGTCGGTCAGTCAGTCATCAACTCTCAGTCGTAGAACTTCGTACGTACGTACATCAGTTCAAGTTGCCATACAACATGAGCACACAGATACAATTGTCAATTCAAATCCCATAGTGGTAGCAATTACAGTCGGCATTATAGTTGCGAAATATGTTGAATGTTTCCCATCGATCTATACATATACCTGAGTGCTTTATACAACAGATGACTAATTGGAAAAACAATCATTAACAAGGTGTCTTATACATAGAGAACTGATGATAATGATATTAGATTATGAGTAATACAATCGAGATTTTCTCAAAGCCGAAGGAGGAGAGGAAGAACAAAGAACACCTTACATCGAGAAATGGAGACAGACATGAGAAAAATGAACAAAAATAGGATAGAACTAGAAAGGAAGGCCCAGGACAGTGTGAGTTGTAGAATGTTGGTCGGCGGCCTATGCTCCATTGGTAGTAACAGTCATAAGGAAGTAAATAAGTAACATTCGGGATTTGTGGAGATCGTAGGATTTTTAAATTTAAATTCGTGAGTCAATCTAAGCTAGATTATAATTGAAAATCTCGAAATACTAAATGGCTGTTTCATTCTAGAATGTGATTTCACAGAAGTGTGCATCCATAACCCCGTGCACCACATTCACAAATTCAACTCTTAAAATTACTATGATCTCCACAAATAACCATTCTGATAATATTCATCATGTGCGCATTAGTGACTCGATTCATGATGGATTTTTTGGAGATCTAGTGAGAAGCTGTAACTAGTGGAGTTCAATCCGTGTCGGGTGTGAGAACGGTTTCTACCTCAGACAATGGATAAAAGATTGAGTAATGTTATGAATCTATTAAAGTTAGACATTAACACCTTTAGATGACAGTCAAGTGGTTTATAATTAAGGCATTCATGCGGGGATAATGGCCCCTAATTCAAGTTTCGCTGAGTACTCCCGTACGAGAACAAAATGTCCGTCTAGTAATTCCAAATTTTCCATGATGGTCTAACTTCAAATAACTTATGAATTCAACTATTAAACTAGTATAAATAAGAATTAGGTCAATAAATTTATCATAGGGGTAATGATTATTTAACCAAAATGTTCAGAATAAATCAAATTGTTAACTTCACACAAATCTCTCACTTTCCATTTTATCAATTATGTAATTATTACATTTATTCATCTATTTATTCATTTGTTCATTATACATATAATAAACATATCTCTATGTGTATACCTGTGATGTTACGTAACAGCCAGTCACTGAGCATTACATAATATAGAGTGATTCTTACATAAATAGTCATAGTTATCGTTATGACTATTATAGACACTAAAGAGTACATTCATATTTGAAAATATGAATCAAGGTATAGAATATGTTGATCAAGTCAGTGATGATGATGATGATGATGATGATGATGATGATGATGATGATGATGATGATGATGATGATGATGATGATGATGATGATGATGATGATGATGATGATGATGATGATGATGATGATGATGATGATGATGATGATGATGATGATGATGATGATGATGATGATGATGATGATGATGATGATGATGATGATGATGATCATGATCATGATCATGATGGTGATCATCTCATTATGATCACATTCTCATAAGTGATACACCTTGTTGATTAGTATTACATAATATTTATGGATCAATCAATCAATCAATCAATCAATGATCTCCCATTTGTTGTATACACCTATATATTCACATTTGTTATGAAGTTATTATGTTATAATGATCCATATACTGTGTATGAGTATAGATATATACCTAATTATGTAATGATGATTACGTAATCTAGCACTGAGTTAATCTAAAGAAATAGTTATTCATGATGTAATCATCTTGTATAGGATAGATGATATTCTATACATTCGAATGGATCAATTTGAGATTGGAGTAACTAATGTAAAGTGCCAAAGTGGATAGTTTTCTTTTTGTTGACACATTAATGAATATGACACGAATAAATTCAATGATTATCTCATGTAGATAACATTCTTTGATGACATCAAAATGAATTGGCTTATAATCATCTATAAATCTATATTGTAGACATAATTAACATAAGGCTTAACACTGAATAGATCAAAACATATTCTTCAATCAAACTATTAATTCTGTATAAAGTTAACTATTCATTAATTATAATCAGAGAGGGGTTTTGTGGATATTATAATATGGGTTCGAATCCCGTGAGCGGGATCGTGGATGCGCACTGTTGAGGAGTCCCACAATAGGACGAAACGGCCATCCAGTGCTTCCAGGTTTTCAACAGTGGTCTAACATTAATCGGTTCATGATCTCAATCAAAAGAGTAATTTAATAGTTGAATTTATGAGTCATTTGAAGTTTGACCATCATGGAAAGACTGGAAGCACTGGACAAACATTTTGTCCTAATATGGGATTCCTCAGCAATGCATGTCCACGATTCCGCATCGCGCGATTCGAACGCAGGTTCTATCAATCTCGCATGCGAACGTTTAACTTCTAGACCACTGAGTCGGTTGGCATCCAATGGTGTTAGTGTATAACTTCAACCAATCCCCGAAATCGCGCAACTATCTTCCATTGTACTGAAGTAGATACCTGTCTCTACCCAACACGGATTAGCTCCACTGGTCACGGCTACTCACTAGAACTCCGAGAATTCCCTCATGAATCTAATCACTAATGAGCACATGGTAATTATTAGTATAGGGTTGTGGAGATGATTAAGTTTTTGATTGAGATCATGAACCGATTGATGTTAGACCACTATTGAATATCCGGAAACTTTGAACGGCTTTTTCGTCCTATTGTGTGACTCCTTTACAATGCGCATCTACGACCCCACTCGCAGGATTCGATCTCAGGCCCATTAAACCAGTGAAATTATTCCATGTCGGGTAGAAACAGGTCTATCGTTTCAATAATTTCCACAATCCTATACTAATTATCATATTAGCTGAACAGATATAAGTGTATACTTCAAATTGATTGAATACTTCCCAAATAAACTTTGAATAAGTGAAGGGACTACTTTAAATACCGTACTTATTAAACATCTCTTAGATAAAGGACATTACAGGTCAATAATTTAAAAACTTTCATGGTGATCATTTGATGTTTTCCACAATTTGTTACTATCCAACATCAGAAATGCTAATTTATTTATTCAAAATAAGATGGTTATTAGTTATTTTCTACCTTGGTGATAAAAAACTTGCTTTCAATGTATTACATCATCAAGTCTTTCTATATTTTGATTGTCTTCTAAATAGATAATCTTACTTGAACTAATGAAATCTAGTTTATCAGTGTTTATTCATTATGTAATCGCTTGTTTCTAAGTCTTTGAACTTTTGTTACTATCAGTGTTGTGGAATAGTTCTTTTAAATGAGATCTATGTTTAAACGCTTGTTATACTATACTGAAATGTGAGATAATAAAGAAGATTTGTAGCTCAAAGTGGGTGGAGTTTTGGATTAAGTTTTGTTCTTTAGATTGGATCGTTTAGTCGTGGAACTTTCATTGTTATTTTGAATGATATCAAACTTCAATTAGATATTTGTGTTGATGATACTGATATGTGTTTGATGTAACTTCTAAATAAACTGTTTTATGTAAATAACTTAAATCAATTATGTAATTAGGGTATTTTAATATTACAGATTGTATACAATTGACCAGTATCAAACAAAATAGCATGAATTCACTTGAATCTGCTCAAATACTTATTCTTGGTCTCTTCAAGATGATAGAGGGAATTATGTGCATGAAAATACATAAAAGTTCACAGGTACTTTTAAGCTGTTTTTTTAGTTTATTCACTCTTTCATGACTGTTACCCCTTGTAGAAGAGAATAGGCTGACCACTAGGATTCTCCATTGAACAATGTCCTGAACAATCCATTCCACATGTCTCCACTTGCTATTCATCCTTCTGATGTTTCATACCAATTCTCGAAAAAATTCGTCTATTTGTCTACACTGTTCTGTGTCACATCATGATTACAAGTTAAGCATTGCCTCGTGATTCAATTTGATGATTTGCATAATATATGTTCTATCCACTTTCAACTTCTTTTCCTAATTACCTCTACAAGTAGAATCTTGTTTGTTCTCCCTCATATTAGGTTATTATTGATGGTATCCGGTCAATGGACATTGAGTATTTTGTATAGACAATGATTCATAAATACTCGTATATTTTAATGATGGTTGTGGTGGTTCTGTAAGTATCAGCTCCGTGTAGTAGTAAAACTGTCTTGAAATTCGCATTGAAGATTGTGAGTTGTATGTTAGTTGACAGTTGTTTTGAATTCTATATATTTTCCAACTATAGGAATACCGTTCTTACTATTCCAATCATCGACATCACGTTTGCATTACTGAGGAAAACTTTGACGAAAAATGACTATCCAGAACTTGTTATAAAGAAAAATCTTGGAAAGAAGTAGTTGTGACAAGTAATCTGATTGTTTCATTCCATAGAAAAACTTCTACATAAGTTTGGAATTTAAAGGTAATGGAATATATGATGTAATCAAATATTGTTTAACGATAGTGATTAAATGAACTCTCAATGAGGTAAAACTATGAATAACCTTCACTAGTAGGAACTTATTTTCTGTATTCATAAATGATAAGCTTTTAAGTTTGGTCACCTTCATGTACATCTACCAGTTCACCTGCTCTTATGGAGCAAGGTACATTAGCCGTAGTCAATGCTCTCTTTCATCCATGAATGTTGTAAATTTTCCTAAATATCTCCTTCATGGTAACTTATAATGAGTATACTTGGTTTCATCTGTGAATCTCAGTTGAACAAGTAATGAGAAGTATAACAAGATAAAATTGATTAACTATTAATATAGTCTATAAATGATTGAGCTCAATTATTAATTTATATGATCAAATATGTTATAGCTATTAAATTTACACTTTATATGTTTATAATCATTTCCCATAGTGGATAAACAATCCATATATTACTTATTTACTTACACCTGTTACTCCTAGTGGAGCATAGGCCGCCGACCGGCATTCTTCAACCCACTCTGTCCTGGTCATTCCTTCCTAGTTCTATCCAATTGTTGTTCATTCTTCTCATATCTGTCTCTATCCCTCGTTGTAATATGTTCTTTGGTCTTCTTCTTCACTTTTGAACTTGAGGATTCGTTGTGAGGGCATGCCTTGTGACGAAGTTGAATGCTTTCCTCATTGTGTGTCCTATCCACTTCTAGTGCTTCTCCCTGATTTCTTCCTCTTCTGGAATCTAGTCTGTTCTCTCTCATAGTAGGTTGTTGCTGATAGTGTTTGGCCAACACATTCGAAGTATTTTACGTAGATAACTGTTAACTAACACTTGTATCTTTTGGATGATAGCTTTTGTAGTTCTCCAAGTTTCCGTCCTATACAATAGAACTGTCTTGACGTATGTATTAAAAATTCTGACTTTGGTGTTGGCTGACAGTTGTTTCGAGTTCCAGATGTTCTTCAGTTGTAAATATACTGCTGTTGTTTAGCCGATCCGCACATTCACATCTGCATCAGATCCACCGTTTTCATCAATGATGCTGCGCGGATATGTCAAGGTTTTTACAACTCCCAAAACTTCTCCATCAAGTGTGATTAATTGTGGCATGCTGTGTCAATCCATATATGCACCATGATGAATTCATGAGTCGATTTAAGCTAAACCATCATTAGAAACTTCGAAGTACTGGATGGTCGTTTTGTCATAGTATAAGAATAATCAGTGGTGCACATTCACGATCCTGTATATGAAAATTTTACTCAGGATCTTCAATGTCATGAGTGAACGCCTAATACCTAGACCACTCAGCCGACATCCAACGATGTTAATCTCTAAATTCAATCGATTCATGACCATGTGCAACCATGAATTCAACTATTAAAATTACTACAATCTTCAGATATCCCCCATTCTGATAATAGTCATCATGTAAGTACGAGTGACTAGATTCAAGATGGATGTCCTAGAGTTCTAGTAGAAAGCCGTGACTAGTGGAGTTCAATCCATGTCAGGTGTGATATTGATATCTACCTCAGACAATGAATGAAGGGTTGATTGAGATCATGAATCTATTAAAGTTAAACATTAACACCATTAGATGATGGGTCAGTGGTTTAGAGATTATGCGTTCATGTAAGATACCAAATATCCTGTGTTTGAATCCCACTTACGGGATTATGGATGCGCACCGTTAAGGAGTTCAATATTAAGACGTAATCGCTGTCCAGCGCTTCCGCGTTTCTTCGTTTGCTCACGAAACCATGAATTGTGATGATGTCATGATTAGTGACATTTAGTTGTTAATCGATGGATATGTGTACGTATATGTGCGTCTGTGCTAGTGTTTTATCTGTTTACTCAATAGATAATATTGATAAACTGATAAACAGTTATTGAATGTATAAGACTAATCTCTATGTTGTGTATGTGAATATAGGTCTTTTTCACTAGCTCACTCGCTACTATCAAGACTATATCCCTATATACAATTTTATTCATTATTTCACCTTGACTACAAAACACCTATTGTTTAACATGTACAGGGTACTAGTGTGATAACGAATAAAAGGCATGTTAGAATAG